CGCGGAAGAATCGGCCTATTATGTCTACTTTCCAAGATACCCTGGATCTCACAAACAGCGTCTGTTTCCCTTTTCCTGCTCTACTGGCAGGACAAGGAGCTCACACTTGGATTGTCAGCACTGGCTTGTGCACCCCCAATCATCTCTCTTCTTCTTCTCCTATGCGCTATGCGCAGTCCACAGGACTGCACCCGGGGTCCAAAGCGCAGGGTATCTGTACAGTCAAAGATGCTCGGGGGGGAAAAAAAACTGTTCCCTGCCCATCTTCTTCTTCTCCCCCTACCCCAACCCCTACGTCTTGGCATCCCAAAGCTGTCAGACGGTTTCCCATAGCACCGAGCGTGAAATATACTCATGTAAACATTTTGTGCTGAGGAAGGGTTGGCCTCTTTTACACGTTTCCATACAACCAACATCGAACTCAGTATCTTAGACAATGCGTTCATTCTTGTGAGGCACCCACATCTCGAAGCATTCCCTTCATGGAGAATTGATGCGAAAAGAAAGGGCTTCTGCACCATCCCTCTAAGGTATGGATGAGAAGAGTCTTAATTTCCCAGATCAACCAGCGGCTCAAAGTGCAAGCATCCCTAGCATCTCTCTCTCTCTCTCCCGGTTTACCTTTCTCTGATTTTCTCTCCAAAAGCGTGCTCTAAAAGGAATAGCAAACAAACCCCCTAAAGTCATGGCGGGGAGCTCGCTGGCTGCCCGAATTCAGGTTTGAAATGCTACTGTTCCGTGCTCTCGCGCATGCGAGGTTCGAGTGCCAGCCCAAATGCGAGGCCCTGGCCCCAGGAGTGTCACAAGGTGCGGATGCCTTTGCAAAGCTTGGCTCAAGGTACCAAAGGAGCTGTGAGGCTGATTTCGTTGCCTTGCCTGAACTTGCTCAGCAGCTGCACCTCATCCTCGAAGCCAGCATCCTTCCATCATGTCATCTTTTTCGGAATTCAGTTTACGTGGTGGGCAGAGAAAGGCCTCCGGACACTCTCCCTTGCCCACCAGAATGCTGAGGTCTATGGCCTTCCAACACAGCTTGGCCACAACATGGTGCAGTTGCTTTGAGCTTTGCCAGCTTTGCCTTGATAGCAACGTCTGAGCCGTCCTGATGGCAACTGTGTGTCCCAAAGCCTCCTGGCATGGCTTGCGTCCTTCAGCTCGCCCCGATAGACAGCTCCATAGCAGCCTGAGCCTTGAAGCAGCCAGCCCTTAAGCTTAGATCATATAACGGCATCAGTTGCGCTTGCAGGCCTAAGCGCTTTGAAGCATGGAAGTTCGACGTGGCCTGGCTGATGCACCAAGAAATCACCCAGCACGTGTGAACCATCTGCAGTAGCGTGCGCTGGGTGTTGTTCCACAGCGAAGATCACGAAAGCCCTTTCTGCCGCAAGCTTCTGGCCCTCGTGAGTGCATGACTGCATGTCTGTACATGCTAGTGGCATCATGCCTGATGCACCTAGCAGCATAGCAGGTGCGCGCTCCAAGACACTAGTTTTCAAGTGGTTTGGGCAAAAAGCCAGAAGCCACAGAAGCGTGCTTCCTCTTACAGTATCTGCAGTATCTGGCTTAGCTACAAATGTTCAAGCACATCTTGTGGAGTTCTGCATTCCGGGAGCCTGCCCAGCTAAGGTTGTGCTTGAGCAGCTCACCGTACTTGAAGCCATGCAAAAGGCGTGCGAAGCCAGCATATGAGATAGAAAGTGTGAGAGCGAGTGAGGTCCACTACGTACAGGTTTTATGCTTTCGTGATGGCCCTCATCGGTCTGAAGGCGTGCAGACCTTGGACAACAAAGTCGAACTCAAAGCTGCGTTGGAGGGGGGCTGTCATAAAATACCTCCACATCTGCATACTGGTACCTTTGCTCTTTCACCTGCTCTGATTCTAGCTGCTTGGCTTCAGGCGCCTTGCGCAAGGCAAATGACCATCACCTCACTACTGTCAAACAATTGTCAAACTGCCACAGGTTCAGGTATGCCTACATCGCAACACTCGCCTGTGACAGCGCTTGTGGGAAGAGCACCACTTGGCGGAGTTCAGAGACCTAGGTGGACGTGCATTTTGGCATGCCTGCAGGGTTTAAAGGGCAAAGAATGCAGCAAACTAATTACATCACTCAGGGCTGTTCAAACACTGAGACCAACCAGTAGCAAAGTAGAAAGCTGGACCGTCCCTCGAACTTCAAAGAGGCATGCGTGCAAACTTCCCATCGCTACCCTATGGCCAGCATTAGAATATGGACTCCCTGACGATAAGAGTACAGTGGATGTTCATCGATCACTGTGACGCTGAAACTGAAACGGGGCTGCAGCCAAGCGATGCGCTACAGGGCTGTCCCGTACTTTGGCCCAGATATCCGCAGCAGCTTGCGCGCCTGAAGCATAGAGCAGGAAACTTTACTGCTGTGCACTCCAAAGTGGCGCGCCTGCCTCGTATGTCTCCTTTCAGCACAGCCTGTGCTACAGATGAAGTACCAGGCATTTTGTTGGTGGTCATGTTGCTGAGGCTTCTTGTGCTTAGGCAATGGCGCACACTGCCTGTGCTGCAAGAACCTGAACACACACAGCCTTGACTGCGCTGCATCCATCTGCATCTGGGGCCCTGGCCCTGTGCGGCTCTTGCGTGGCGGCTTCCGCTAAGCGTTGCGATGCATCTTCCAAGGCCTCGAGGAAACGAAGCTTTTTGCTGGCTGCTGATGCTGAACGCCTCGAAACTTGCGAATGATTGCACTTTTTGCAAAGCAATCCAGCATCCAGCGATGTCCCCGAATGCAAGCCCCAATTGGAAAATCCGGGTTCCGACATGCTTCTGCAGGCAGGACTCCGGGGATGCAAAGCGGGCTGCCCGCTCCAACATGAACACAAGCCGAACTGGCTGGATGCTGCCGCCCATGCAGTAGACGGTCTTCGTCTCACCATGGGTTGCAGGAGTTCTGCAACGCACAGGACGACTGCGCTGCAATCAAAACACCCTGAGATTTGTGAACACGGTGTTTGGCAGGAAGAGCGGCGCTTGCCAAGGCATCCAAGGCATTGGCAAACTCGAGCTGCTCTCAGCAATTTACTCGAGATCCCGGCTGCTTCCAGTCCTGCAAAGACATTTTGGGCTCACGTGAAATCTGCCCGACACAACTTCCCAAACAATGTCTCCTTATCTGTCTGGCCACGAGCTGCCAGCGGGATGTCATCGGCATGGAATCGACGCTTGAAACACTCTGAAGGCTTGGCGCGCTTGGCATAATCTGGGTTCGCCGACCTGCAACTGCAGCATGCCGAATTGGCTTTGAACAAGCTCCTGCTTCGTTGGACACCGCATGCTTTGTTAGAAGCAGCAACGGCTTGCTACATCTAGCTACAAAGTGCATTGCGGCCGCAGCTCCAGCATGAACAAGTATGAAAGCGCCAGGGACGTCATGTTCACGGCTGCCTTTTTGGTCAGCCACGTGTGCCAGGAGTTCTGGGCTTCTGTAGATCCGGATTAGCTCCTCAGCATGGAAAGTGAATGAAACAGTACACTTGCAAAGGCTCACAGGATTTACATGGGCACCAAAGTGCTGGCAAGGTGCGTGGTACAGCTCCCACTCTGCTTTCAGATTTCCCTGCACCCGCGCCAGATAGATGCCGTCGCAAAGATCCATGAGCAAGTCAGTGTTCGATACCTCCTGTGCAAGCAAAGACCTTTAATCCTTTCGGAGCAGCTTTTTCCTCAACCGTTGAGACATGCTAGCCCGTTACCGGGGCATGTGGACCTTTGATATCAGGTGAACCTGCGGCCGTTCCCACAAAACAGCACAGCAGAGGCAGCTTGCATATCAAGTCTGTCCGCTGCTCCTCATAGACCATTCTCTTGGAACTATCCTTGAAAATGGTGCGGAACAAATTGCCGACCGTCAGGACGACGCCCAGGTACAAGCCGTTGATGGACCACCTTCAATGCATGAGACGAGCTCCAAGCTCCCGTGCGGTTACCAATGCGTAACTTCTGACAGTCTTGCATACAGCAGCCTGGTTAATCCCAATTGCAGCATATGTAAACACGCAATGAGTTTTCAAAAGCTTAGCTTCACTCTTTAATCTGAACTTCTGGCTTGGGCAAGACGACAACAGTTCCTAAACAATCGCAAGAAGAACGCTTACAAGCAAGGCCAGGCCGCAATTTTGAATCCTTGTCTGAGGAGGCCGAACCACTGGCTATGTGGTTACTGGCAACTTTACATGTCAGCTCCCGAGGCGCCAAGCCCTCTGTGCCATTGGACGCCACGGACCTCAGTGTGGGTCTAGGAGCGTGCGCATGAGTGGAAAGCTTCTTGCTGTCATGTACTGCACCGTGGTTCACGTTTATGGCGATTTCCTTGTTGCATCTTCTTGCTTGCCTAAGTTTCTACATCTTAAACTGATTGCTTCATTTTCAGCTTGCAGCTTGCCCTAACACAGGGTGAGCTTGCAAGCTCGCCCCAACGCGCCCGGAATAACTACGATTGCTGCGGCATCAACAGCTTCGCGAGGACAGCATCTCTGCTCGAGATGGAACGCGTTTCAAGCCTCCACGTCTTGCGGGCATAGCCGGTGCTTTTGAACTGGTGGTCCTTTCTGCAGAGTCTTTGGCACAAGAACGCCGCTTGCATCTCCATCTTCGCTTCTGCCGGTCTGGCTTCTTACATGAAGGCACTCTCCCCCAAAGACTGCTACAGTTGCTGCTGCTGCTACGACGACGGCGAGGACGAGGAGGAGGAGGACGACCACGGCTGCTACTGCTGCTGCTGCTGCTGCTGCTACTACTACTACTACTACTACTCCTACTACTACTACTACTACTACTGCTATTACCACTGCCACCAGGGGAATGTTAGGTTTCTGACAGTAAGTTGCTCGCTACTTCAGATGTGTTTTGCAGTTGCTTTGGGCTCATTTTCAGATTTCAGGGGAGGCCGCGTTTTTTAAGTAGACTTAAGCAATACATTTGGTCAGGGTTGCGCGTTTTATAATGCCTCTCTGCCCATTTCCGAACGTCTGAGAGCAAATGCGTTTATTGAAGCAGGCGTGCCAGGGACTTGTTTAAAGAAGGTCAAGGTGTGCCCAATGAGGCGTTAGTCAGTCGCCCAACTAGTCCAAGGATCAAAGGTTTAGAATGCTTGAAAGTAAGCTTTGTGAAGTCTTCCACAAAGTGACTCTTTGATCTGGTCACCTGACACCCCGGTTCAAGAAGAGAGCTCCGGCTTTGCTGTATGGATGCCCCCATTGCGCCTCAGTGTATATCGGCGCCTCTGAATCAGTTTGCCAAAAACACTTCTGATTGACTTGGCTTAAATGGGCTGAAGCTAGCAAGATCCCAGGTCGTGTTTGCCAAGAACCGCGATGCAAGCTTACACATTTTGCGGAACGTTTCTGGCCACATTCAACTCTTGATGTAAAATCAAGTAAAATCAAACTGAAACCACTTCTGAACATGCTTCTATCAGAGCGCCTGGGAAATTCAGAGACATTGCCAAACAGTCTGCGCTGCCAGAGTTCATGAGAGCCAAAACGATCAAAGAACAACAGGCAAATGCAGGCAAATGCCTGCACTTGCTGACACTGCACCATGTATTCCCTCTCCGGGGAGGGGCCACGGGGGATGGTGCCTCGGGCGAACCTGTGGCGGAAATTGACCTGTTCTACAAATTATCCTGGACAGCGCGACCTACATCGTGAGCAAGGTGTTCTGGTGGCCTGTGCATTAGGAAGACTTCGGTCGAGGTGCAGCCCACACCTATGGCTCAGGGGGGTGGGTGGACACCCTCTAAATCCATGGGGAGCATGACGTTTGAGGCAACCGCGGTGTGCTGCTAGCCGTGCGAGCAGCAGGCACAGTGTTACCCCTACGGTGCATTGCTGGTCCGAGATCCAGATGATGTGATGCGGCACCACCCTGCGGAAGAGATGAGCTTTCCGGCCGCCGGGAGCGAGGGCGACATTGCGAGTTTGGTCACCGCCTTAGCTGCCTTGTCTTCCGTCATGGTTTGTCAGCTGGTCATAGACGTGGTCAGCGTGAGGAGTTGAGAACGCACGTGTAGTGTACAGAATGTGTTTTGGTCCAGTTCGAGTTCGACTCGAACTGCTTTAAGACGAAATGGTGTGGCTGCAGTTTTGGTCACCGTCTTAGCTGCTTTGATCTCCTTCTTTTTTTGTGCACTGGTCACGAACGTGGTCGGTGTGAGGAGTTGAGACTGCACTCGCAGTGTACAGATTGATTTTGTCCAGTTCAGGGTCGTCTTGAACTGCTTCAGGGTTTCTGCCTGGGACCCTGCCGCTGTGTACACTCTGGCTTCCAGCCAGCTTTATGGCATGCGTCCTCATGCTCGGCATCTTGGTTACCTGCAAAAGGATTTTGCTTGCGGTTGTCATCGCAGAGTTTGAGATGGACTGGATGGGTACTAGCTGACTGTCCTATGGATGGCGTAGCGGATGGCTTCTGCTTCTTCGGGTCTGGCTTAGCTCCCCATGTGCTGTTTGGAGTAGTTGTGGATAGCCGCGTGGGCTTGGAAACCCGCAAAGTCCACGTGGCACAGCGTACCGTTATGAGTGCGTGGCTGCGGCCCCTATTCAACTGGCCGTTCCGCCGCAGTTTGTTGAAGGTTTTCATCAGGACATTTTGGGAGCCCGCTATCATCCATGTCCGAGAACATCCCTTTCCAGAATCGTCCTCTACCAAAGCGTCGCCATGTCCATCTTAGAGGGCATTGCATCCATGACGAATCAATGTTCATAGGTGCCTCGTCGTACTTTCAAAGGTGCACATTCAGGAAGTCATGTTAGCAAAATCTGTGACTACAGGATCAGTAGCAAACATGACAAGCACAGCGCCAGGCAAACTTAAGTGCATCGAGTTCAGCACGCAAGTGCGTAATGATGCCTTTCTTGCTTAGTTGCTTCCGACGAGTAGCTGAAGCAACCCTCACAAGAAACCGCAATGGCCCACTCAAAATCCATAGCATCCAGTCTGCATCCAGCCCCCATGTGGCGCCATTCCAAAACTTGGAACCCTGAAGCAACCAGTAATACCCACACGGTTAGCAGTGTCTCTGCCTCCCTGCCCCTCGCATCTGCTTGCGGGCACCCTGCCCTGGGAGCTACCTAGAGGTGGCCATCGTAACCTCAATGCGCAATAAAGTCCTGTCTAGTTTCGCAACATATTCACGCAAGTCACCAGTATGGAGGATGTGGATGAGGCTGTTGAGTTGACGGACTGTATGTAAGCACCATCACATTGTGGATATGCTGCCTCTCCTGCAAAGGGAGGCTCACAACTAGTTGTAATACATGTAAGCGAGCTTTGCCTGACTTGCACTGCACCAAAGCTCGACCCCAGGGTTAAGTCTTGTGCAGAAATTCTTGAACTTCTTTTGCAAGCTCGACATTGCCATGACGCACTCAAGAAAAACACAATCAAGCTTTCCTCCTTGTCCGGCAGAAAGTCAACGTCAGAAACAGCGCCGTCAGCCAGTCTCACATAATTCCTGCGCTGCCACCAAGGCGATGCACTACACACAAGCCACCAAAAAATCACCCTATGTCTGTCTTCCAAGCTGTGCTTCATATGTCCAAGACTCGGAAACAAGTCACGTATCACAAAAGACTCTGCTCTTTCGGCTCTGGGTGTGTCAGAGTCGCTGGCATCACCTAAC